CCCAGGGTAATTTCAAGGGCACAGTCAGGATTGAGATCCTCCTATATCCCAGACCACATTCTGGTGACCCCAAACTCCTTATTCCTACTGTCCAGAGGGATGTGATTTCATATCTCTTAATGCATCAGAAGATTCTCGAAGGCGGGGAGGGTATTGCAGAATCCAAAGCAGAACAGCTCGAGCTCTTTCCTCAACAGAGGAGGCCTGGATAATTTATTCCCAGGTGTCCCCATCCCATATGCAAGAAAAAGAGCTGAGCCCGGGAGCGGTGGCTCACGCCTCTAATCTTACCACTCTGGGAGGCCAAGGCAGGAGGATCGCCTGAGCTCATCTCATGAGTTCGAGACCAGCCTGATCCAGAGTGCGACCCCATCTCTAAAAATAGCTGGGCGTCGTGTTGGGCGCCTGTAGTCCCTGCTACTCGGGAGGCTGAGGCAAGAGAACCTCTTGAGCCCAAAAGTTTGAGGTTGCTGTGAGCTATGAGGCCAGAGCACTCTACCAAGGGAGACAAAGTGAGACTATCTCCAAAAAAAAAAAAGAAAGAAAGAAAGAAAGAAAAGAAAAGAAAATGAAAGGAAAAAAAAAAAAAGAAAAGGAGCTGAGCGTATCCTCCCTCCGCTGTTCCCGTTCATTACGACTCCCACCAGGTAACAAAAGTCCGGCTTGACTGGGCGGACCAGCAAGCTGGCAGCTGCTGGGACCGCCTCCTCCCCGGCAATCTCGGAATCCTGACTCCCAAAAGGGGTGCAATCCCCCACTCCCAGCCACCCCTACAGGCGGAGGCTGGCGGCGCAGATGGAGCTGCCTCCTCCGCGTGCCCCCCAGCCCTCCAGCTGGCCTTATGCTGGTGGGAAGGGGACAGGAGACGCGAATGCGGAGAAGCGCCCCCGCTGCTGGTGCGACAGATTAACTCTGCACCCTGGAGAACGCAAGTGGCCCCGAGGGCTCTAGCCTCCTGGAGTCACCCTTTCTCTTCAAGCAGGTGGCTCCCGTCACCAGTCACTGGATCAGGACTCTCACCTTAAATTAAAGGTTTAACAGGCTGCAAACTGCACCGCTGTTGTCTGCTTCCGTTGCGGGGCCTGTCACACTTCCTACTTACCCAGGGACCTTGCCGCCCTCGATTCGTTCCCACGCCCCACCATAAATCCAAGATGAGCGCGTCTGGCCGAATGGTGCGCTGGGTTTGAGGGTGATGCGCAGGGGTACTGGCAACCCGAGCAGGAAACTGCATATTTAACGCTACACAGCACCCTGAAACACTCAACCGTCCATCTCTCCTGTGTTAACTAGAGATCATTTAGTCACAAGCGAAGAAAACCCACGCGAAACGGGCTAACGCCGGGAGCGAGTAATTAAAAAAACTGAAAAGTCCAAGGGGAGCTTTCAGGCCTGGCTTCATTTAGCACCCGTATGAGGAGAGGCGCCTTCCTTCTCCTGTCTCTCCTCCGTCTCTCCCTCCTCTATAGTTTTCTTGTATGTTGGCTTCATCCTAAAATAGGCCCTTCCCTGGTGGCAGGGAAAACAGATGGGAAGAGACTTTCCTCTCACCTGGCGCGGGAGGCAGGGTTCTCGCTGCCTGCTCAGCTGGATTCTGATTGGCTGGACGACGGAGGGGCGGGGCTAGCTCATTGACGGACACTCTAGAGAACCACTGTCAGTGAAGAAGAGGCCCTCCTCCTCCACCCACCCCCCCCACCCACCCCCACACACCTTGCGGCAAAGCGGGTAAGACCCTGCAACCAACCACGTGTGTTCATTAACTTTCATCCTAGGCTTCTGCGCTTCACGGATTCAGCATCGCCCCCGTCCCACCTCCACAGTTCTCAGCATTCAGACAACAGCCTTGCCACCTCCTTATGCAAAGCAGTATAGCTCTGTTTCTGCGTCCAATACTGGCTATGCCCTGGGGGTCACCTTCCTTAACCAGAAGGACCCGTCAAAGCAGGGTCAGTGACCCTGATCTCTACCGAGGCCAGAGCTGAAGAAGTGCCCTCAATTTGCAGTGTGAGACAGTCGGTTTACCTGTATCAGGGTTTCACAATCTGGCCACTGTTGACATTCTAGACAAGACAATTCTTGGTTGTTGGGGCCATTATGTACGCTGTAGGGGCCATTCCGTACGCTGTAGCAGCAGCCCTGGCCTCAGCTAGCGTAATGCCCAGAGCATCCTGCCACCCCACCCCTCCACCCCACTGGTGACAACCAAAAATGTCTCCAGAGGAAGCTCCTGTAGCTCAGTGGGTAGGGCACCAGCCACATACACCAAGGCTGGTGGGTTTGTGGCGGGTTTGAGTCCAGCCTGAGCCTGCCAAACAACAATGACAACTGCAACAAAACATAGCCAGTCGTTGTAGCAGGGGCCTGTAGTCCCAGCTACTTGGGAGGCTGAGGCAAGAGAATCACTTAAGCCCAAGAGTTGTAGGTGGCTGTGAGCTGTGGCACCACAGCACTCTACGGAGGGTGACATAGTGACACTCTGTCAAAAAAAAAAAGTCTCCAGATATGGCCAAATGTCCTCTGGGGAGAAAGAATAATCACCTCTCCTTTGCCCTCCACACTCCTGTTTGAGAACCACAGACAGGAAGCAGGAGGCCCTCGGCTGCAAGATAAGAGCCAAAGCAGTTGGAGAAAGGGAGAGTTCCAAATCTGGATTTCTCTCAAAATAAGGCTCCCAAAGCATGTGGTTAGCTGATTTGGGGAAAGCCTGTATGAAACAAATTTTTATCTGTCCCTGAAGCTTCCTGGGGATTTGTTGTGTGTTCTTTATATTTTAATGCTGCAAGAATAAAAGAGGTATTTATTTGAAAATGTAAAGTGTAACACAAACATTACAATTTTTTTTTAGATCAAACAAAGTAGGAAGCATTTAGTCATCTTTCCAACCTGAGCATTGCTTGGCATGGTCATGGGAACAGGGTTTTCCTGTCACCTCTGCATCGAATTAGTGGCTTGGAAAGGTGCATTAAATTGTCCCTTTGATCTAATAATTCCCTTTTGCTGTGGTGATACTTCTCTTCTGGAACTGAAAACCACTGTCAGTTCTTCCAACTTAAATAAAAATGTGTTTTCCTTGGACCTGAAGTTCCGGAGATAACATACTAAAACTTTAAATGCTAACTTGGCCATTTTCTTTCTAGATTTGGGCTGAGGCTAATCCCCTTCTCAAAACTTAGTTTCTTTTATCTGACAGCAAAGAGCTTCCACTCTCTCATGTTTCCCATTTCGCCTTAGATTCCTTGAAACAACTAAACTCAAGAACAATAGCTATAAAACGCATCGTCTGTCTACTCTGTCTCACCTGGTATAGTTGTCTTGTATTCCTCTTAAGTGCTGTGAGTTGAGGCTTTTTTAGTTCTTTTAATATTTTGTGCTTGTTCCAGGTCATTGTATTTCAGAAAGGAATCTGTCAATCTGTTTGGGGAAGTGAATAAGGAAACACAGTGTAAGTTGACCACCCAAGGGACAGTGATAAACTAGTCAATATACTGAGGCAGTCAACATAAGCAACTAGGAGCTTGGAGCCTACGGCTCAAGTGGCTAAGGCGCCAGCCACATACACCCAAGGTGGCGGGTTCGCATCCAGCCTGGGCCC